TTACAAAGAAAACATTTACAATAAGGCGTACGAAGCGTAAGTGTAAACAGTGTCTCAAGAACAATAATATTACAGATTCGTAAAAGGGCACTTTTCGTCCACAGCGTTAAGTTCAGGTAACCCAGCTTATATACACCGAAATAAGATCCAGGTATTTCACACGCACACAAACAACATTCGCAAAGGTATCTTGCTTTATATGCACTTGACGGTGTCTCAGTCTAACACAAGGGATTCTCACTACAAGCACGTTCGTGATCTACATCTTACATTTGACAAGCACGTTCGTGATCTACATCTCACATTTCGTACCTGATGACAAACTTTCAGTTGTCGTACCAAGTACATGTGAAACAATCAAACACAATAAAATATTCTGTTTCAACGTATCGCGTTAGTATGTGTCGTGTTGTGTTACAGCGTGAAGCAATTACCTGTTGTAAATGCCTCCATTATAGGGCTGGTAAGTAGGTCACCAACCAAATCTATGGCTCATGCAGGTTTTATTGAGCCGTAGAACTGGTTGGTGACCTACTTACCAGCCATGTTATTGTTGACATAGATAAAAATTGTGTTTTTCTCAATTTAGACTTCCAAGCGCCTGTAAAAGAAGAACAAACTATATATATATATATATATATATATATATATATATATATATATATATATATATATATATATATATATATATATATATATATATATATATATATATATATATTATATATATATATATATATATATATATATATATATATATATATATATATATATATATTAAGAAGTTTTGTCATAAAAGTTGCAAATGCAGTGAAGTCTAAAAATTTAATTTTTGGCGTTTAAGGCTACATTTCTATTATTTCCATCACGCCTAAATTATAACCTGGAGTTTCACTTTCGTAAATCAAACATTGATTGGCTGGACAGAAACTCTACGATCAACATTCTGAAAGCTCCACTGTGTCGTAATTTGTTTTCAAAACCTTGTGATAAAAATTTTTAAACATATTTATACTTTTTTTTAACTACATGACCTAGTTATGCCTTGTCTACTAACTTTTCCAGTGATAATTTTTTTTTTTAAATTGCTTCGGCTTTTTTTTTTTTTGTTAAAGTTACTGAAAATACAGAAAATACAAAATGCATCCAATCTTTCGTGAAGACCGACAAAACCTCAAAATAAGTCAAAATCACAATCTTTTTAATAACACCACACACATTTTTTTTTAAATTTTAATGGGCTTTTGAGATTCTTCTTTATGGTGTCCATTACAAAACCACACACAAATTTTATTTTTGTTTGAATTGTATACAAAAACTAAAAGATTGTAAGACAACTCTATTTATCGTAATTGATAATCTCCCCTTATGAACTCTAACAATGCTACCATTATATGTTTCAGATCAGGAAAAAGAGGAACACTGTGTGACATCACCACTGACATCACACGGCGCGAGGCATAAGGCAGAGTGGGGCACACGACACAGTGAGGTCAGAGGGCAGAGGTCGATGCCCTCCTAAGCGTGTCCAGACAGCCAATCGTCTTCCACCCGTCCGGAGCAGGTAGCCAATGAAAATCTTTATCTCGTCTCTCCTGCTGGTAGTGACGTCACTATGCCAGGAACCTGATGTGGAATTTTTGCTTGACGAATCACCGGAACTCTTCATTAGTAGTAAGTGATTCCTTTTATAATTAAAGTAATTAGAGTAGTCTTTAGGAATACAGAATTAATTGAATAAATAGTAGTATTCAATTAAATTATTAATAATTAGTAGCTTATTTTTAAGTATTATTTTTAAAATAACTAATTGCTCACACGAATTTTTAAATAATTATGGTAATTAGATAATTAATTGTTTTTGTAAGTAATTAAAGTAATTTTTGGGAATAGGCTTACATAATTAACACGCTCAATAGTAGTATTTAATTTAATTATTAGTTGTGATTAATTTTTATTTTAAAGCATTATGCATTTAAATTAATCATTACTATCATGCATTTTTAAATTATTGTCATTAGATAATTAATGTATGTTGTTAGTATTGTAAGTAATTATTTAATTACAGAATGGTTTAAATGAATTCAATTCTTCAATTATTTCTATATTGGTTTATTGGTTAATAATGTATTGACTAATTAGCTATAGTAAAAAGTGCTTGTTTAAATTTATATAAGGCACTCTTACATTAATCATAAACAAAAATTTGAAACAAAACGTTTAAATATTTTGTAATCATTAAAATAGCTGGAAGGCGAACCGATTTTTTTCTTTTTTTTTCACGGATTTGCTAACTCAAGCAACCTTTTAACTCTTCGTCAGAGTTCATGTTTCTTGACCTCGACATATGAAGTGATAGTGGGGTCAACACTATGCCCAGCCGCCTTAACTTTCTCTAACGCGAATTGGTTACCCTTCAGAGATAGATGGACAGGGACGGTCTACTGACTTAAACCCGGATTCGAACTCGAGACTTTCGGGTTAGCAGTGTAGCGTTCTATGCTAGGCCACTTCGTCCCCTAACCATAGCTTTGAACCTGACCCAAAACCCTTATCCTACTTCAAGTCCTTAACATAATATATAAACATTGAAATCCACGGAACAAATATCTCGATATAATATAAAGTTATATAGCTCTATCCGAGTTTTTATAAATCCAGAATTGTAGAGATATTTTCCGACCGAAAAGCGCGTCGCTACTGAAACATGTATCTTAATCAATAAAACGTTACAAGAAAACAATAGCCATTGTTTTTTATGGGTTGAAATTGTCCGTTTATTATACACGTGTGTATCTTCTTCGATAAAAATTTCCTAGAATTTTTTTTCTTAACATCCGATAAAAATTTGACGTAGCGTGGGTGTGTGGGTTTGACGGGCGGTAAAAATAGACGTGCTTTGAGGGTGGGTTTGATGGGCGGTTAAAATAGACGTGCTTTGAGGGTGAGTCTGATGGGCGGTTAAAATAGACGTGCTTTGAGGGTGGGTGTGTGGGTTTGATGGGCGGTTAAAATAGACGTGCTTTGAGTGTGGGTGTGTGAGTTTGATGGGCGGTTAAAATAGACGTGCTTTTAGGGTGTGTGGGTGTGTGTGTGGGTGTGTGGGTTTGATGGGCGGTTAAAATAGACGTACTTTGAGGGTGTGTGTGTGGGTGTAGGTTTGATGGGCGGTTAAAATAGACGTGCTTTGAGGGTGGGTGTGTGGGTGTGTGGGTGTGTGGGTTTGATGGGCGGTTGAAATAGACGTGCTTTGAGGGTGGGTGGGTGTGTGGGTGTGTGGGTTTGATGGGCGGTTAAAATAGACGTGCTTTGAGGGTGGGTGGGTGAGTTTGATGGGCGGTTAAAATAGACGTGCTTTGAGGGTGGGTGTGTGGGTGTGTGGGTTTGATGGGCGGTTAAAATAGACGTGCTTTGAGGGTGTGTGTGTGTGTGTTTGATGGGCGGTTAAAATAGACGTGCTTTGAGGGTGTGTGTGTGTGTGTGTTTGATGGGCGGTTAAAATAGACGTGCTTTGAGGGTGTGTGTGTGTGTTTGATGGGCGGTTAAAATAGACGTGCTTTGAGGGTGTGTGTGTGTGTGTTTGATGGGCGGTTAAAATAGACGTGCTTTGAGTGTGGGTCTGATGGGCGGTTAAAATAGGCGTGCTTTGAGGGTGTGTGTGTGTGTGGGTTTGATGGGCGGTTAAAATAGACGTGACGTGCTTTGAGCATGTGTGTGTGTGTGTGTTTGATGGGCGGTTAAAATAGACGTGCTTTGAGGGTGTGTGTGTGTGTGTTTGATGGGCGGTTAAAATAGACGTGCTTTGAGGGTGTGTGTGTGTGTGTTTGATGGGCGGTTAAAATAGACGTGCTTTGAGTGTGGGTCTGATGGGCGGTTAAAATAGACGTGACGTGCTTTGAGCATGGGTGTGTGGGTTTGATGGGCGTAAAAATAGACGTGCTTTGAGTGTGGGTGTGTGGGTTTGATGGGCGTAAAAATAGACGTGCTTTGAGTGTGGGTGTGTGGGTTTGATGGGCGTAAAAATAGACGTGCTTTGAGTGTGGGTGTGTGGGTTTGATGGGCGTAAAAATAGACGTGCTTTGAGTGTGGGTGTGTGGGTTTGATGGGCGTAAAAATAGACGTGCTTTGAGTGTGGGTTTGTGGGTTTGATGGGCGTAAAAATAGACGTGCTTTGAGTGTGGGTTTGTGGGTTTGATGGGCGTAAAAATAGACGTGCTTTGAGTATGGGTGTGTGGGTTTGATGGGCGGTTAAAATAGACGTGCTTTGAGCGTGAGTGTGTGGGGTTTATGGGCGGTTAAAATAGACGTGCTTTGAGCGTGGGTGGCAACCCGTGGGCGGGTTGTAGGACAACCTGTGACATGGATATCAGACAACCTCCTGTAGCGGGATGACAAATGAACGTCACCACCAACCAATAAATAAATATAAAAATCGCTGGATGTCAGAGCTTGTATAGTAAATTACATCGAGCTTCGTCTTTTATAGAGTCGTCAGTGAATCGTGATAGATAAAAAAGGGTTTTAGAAAAATGAAACGACAAGTATTTATTCTAAACAAATGCATATGTATAAGATATATGTGAGGTAGGCGGGGCAGGACAGGGGGGGGGGGGGACACGGGACGGAGACGGGGGAGGGGGTGAGTTAGCCTAAAGGTCCAGCTTGACCTAGTTATAAATGACGTAAACTTGCGTCATCACAAATCTCTTTACCCTAACCCTTAACCCAGGGCATCGTTTATAAACGATGTTACACTCCTAAGATGAAAGGGGGGAGGGTTCGGTGGTTTTGAGACAGATCTACCACCAGGAGTATAGGAATGGATAAAAAAATATGTCGAAAAGCGTTTGAATTTCAAACAGAAATTAACAATTTTGTCCACATGTCTAACATCCCATTGTTACCATGTCTAACATCACATTGTCCCCTGTCTAACATCACATTGTCCCCTGTCTAACATCATCTTGTCCCCATGTCTAACATCATCTTGTCCCCATGTCTAACATCACATTGTCCCCATGTCTAACATCACATTGTCCCCATGTCTAACATCACATTGTCCCCATGTCTAACATCACCTTGTCCCCATGTCTAACATCACATTGTCCCCATGTCTAACATCACATTGTCCCCCTAACATCCCTTTGTCCCCATGTCTAACATCACATTGTCCCCATGTCTAACATCACATTGTCCCCCTAACATCCCTTTGTCCCCATCTCTAACATCACCTTATCCCCATGTCTAACATCACCTTGTCGCCATGTCTAACATCATCTTGTCCCCATGTCTAACATCACATTGTCCCCATGTCTAACATCCCATTGTCCCCATGTCTAACATCACATTGTCCCCATGTCTAACATCCCATTGTCCCCATGTCTAACATCACATTGTCCCCATGTCTAACATCATCTTGTCCCCATGTCTAACATCACATTGTCCCCATGTCTAACATCACATTGTCCCCCTAACATCCCTTTGTCCCCATGTCTAACATCACATTGTCCCCATGACTAACATCATCTTGTCCCCATGTCTAACATCACATTGTCCCCATGACTAACATCATAAGGGGTCGGCGTGGTCGAGTCGGTAAAGCTCATGGTTGCTAAACCGAAAAGTCTCGAGTTCGAACCCTCGGGCAGATGAGGCTCGTTAGCTGGGGACAGCCACTCTTCTAGGAGAGACAACTCCAAAATTAAAACAACTGCTGCCTTGTAGTTTGTTCTTGGTTGGACAAAGGCTATGGAAGCAAATCCAAAAAGAAAAGCAGGCTGAAATCGGAGTCAATGGCCTCAATGGCGCATAACCAGTTGACACGTAACGCTTAATTGTGTTGGAGGCGTGGTCGAGTCGGCAAAAAGCTCATGGTTGATAAATTCGAACAAAGTCTCGAGTTCAAACCCACTGGCAGATAAATCTCGATCCCCTTCAACACTAATAATTAAGAACGAAGAAGAAGAAGAAGACTAACATCATCTTGTCCCCATGTCTAACATCACATTGTCCCCATGTCTAACATCATCTTGTCCCCATGTCTAACATCACATTGTCCCCATGTCTAACATCATCTTGTCCCCATGTCTAACATCATCTTGTCCCCATGTCTAACATCACATTGTCCCCATGTCTAACATCACATTGTCCCCATGTCTAACATCCCATTGTCCCCATGTCTAACATCACCTTGTCCCCTGTCTAACAGTTCAAAGTTTAACACCGTCTCCCCCCTCTACACCCTCAGACCCACATTCCATCAGATCTGGTGATGACATCTACTCACACGTTGCCTACGCTTCAGACTTCCTGCAAGTTGTCAACAATGAGCAGCGCCACTGGAGACAGAGTTCCGCGCTCGCTGACTGGAACTACAAGACCAACATCACAGACCACAACATGAAACAGGTACCTGGTCGGTCTCGCTCACCTTTGTGGGCTAATCTCTAGGCTGTGCTGGGGACACCTTATGGGTACCTGGTCGGTCAGGCTCACCTTTGTGGGCTAATCTCTAGACTACCTGGCTGTGGTGGGGACTTGATTGTTACCTGTGGACACCTTATGGTTACCTTATGTTATATGATGGTTACCTGTGGACACCTTATGGTTACCTTATGTTATATGATGGTTACCTGTGGACACCTTATGGTTACCTTATGTTATATGATGGTTACCTGGGGACACCTAATGGTTACCTTATGTTATATGATGGTTACCTGGAGAAACCTTATGGTTACCTTACGTTATATAATGGTTACCTGGGGACACATGATGGTTACCTTATGTTATATGATGGTTACCTGTGGACATATTATTTTATATGATGGTTAACTGTCTGTAATGGTTACTTGGGTGTTATCTGATGAGTAGCTGAATGGTAACCTATTGGTACCTGACAACCCTTGATAGAGATGACTGACGATTGTGAAGATGTCGCTGAGTCAACCTAGCAGATATGAGTACTTAGCATCATTTCGTACTACTTTTGAGAATTTACGCATTTCTGAAGGCTACATTAATGTAAATTGTCACTGGGAAGTTCTTCGATCAGCATGGAGTGTGTATTGTGTTGTCCAAAGTTGCCCTGTGTTGTCCAAACTTACCCTGTGTTGTCCAAAGTTGTCCTATGTTGCTTTGTGTAATCCAAAGTTGTCCGTTATCCAAATTGATCCGGTGTTGTCCTGTTGTCTAAAGTCGCCCTGTGTTGTCCAAAGTTGTCCAAATTTTTCCTCTGTTGTCCATATTACACCACTGGCACATGTCGTGTAGTCTTCACTTTCCTAACGAGGTCACTAAGTCCACCACAGGGTCATACACTGTCCGTTTTTCAAAATCTAATTTTTTACTAAATCCACCAGAATTAAAAAATAACGTTCACCACATATATAACAAAAGATAGAGTACAAAAACAAAACACCATTTTATTTTGTTGTGATGTTTTGTGTTGCAGAAAATGGGGTTACTAAAACAAAACACCATTTTATTTTGTTGTGATGTTTTATGTTGCAGAAAATGGGGGTACTAAAACAACACACAATTTTATTTTGTTGTGATGTTTTGTGTTGCAGAAAATGGGGTTACTAAAACAACACACAATTTTATTTTGTTGTGATGTTTTATGTTGCAGAAAATGGAGGTGTCCGGTCAGTTTGATGAATGGAGGAGGGGGAAAGTCCGAAGTGCCAAGAAATTTAATCTAAGAGCCTTGCCTGAAGATTTGAGAAGGCAGCTTTCAAAGTTTACACTGTCAGCAGAATCTGATGATAGTTCCATATCAGAGTGAGTGGGTTTTCTTGATTAGCCTCTGATAGTGAGTAATGTATGCATGAATAGAATGTATACTTAGTTTGTTTGGGGGTAAACTTCAGCAGATTGGCATGAATTTTAAGATTAGTCTATAAGAGTGAGTATTATGTGAGTAGGCGTTGTTTGAGATAACTGATTCCCCAGCGATTGTATTTAAATGTGTTTCTTGAAGATTAGTCCATATTCCACCTTGGCCTCCAGAGTTCCATATAAGTTTGAAATTTCTGTTGATTGAAAGATAGATTAGTTGGATGAGAAGATCAGAATTTTTCAGAGGCGGTGCGAGGGGGGGGGGGTGCGGACCGCACCGGGTGACACCATTTAGGGTGGTGACACCAAGGCAAAAAATAGCAAAATATATAGAGAAAAACTTGAGGAGGGGGGGGGGGGAGTGCAAATCGAAAATTTGAGGGGGGGGGGGGGTGCAAATCGAAAGTTTGAGGGGGTGGGGGTGCAAATCAAAAGTTTGAGGGGGGGTACAAATAAAAAATTTGAAAGCTTTTCCCCGGGAAGGGTCGCTACGCCTCTGGGAGTGACACCATTAAGTGCCGCACCGGGTGACACACGACCTCGCTACGCTACTGGAATTGTTATATTAGTAAATTAGAAATTAGAACACGTGGTCTTAAATTTTATATTATAAATTACATTTCCAAATAAGAAACAGGAAATATAAATAATTTAATCCCAGTCCTAAATAAAAACATAACCTAAACAGAATTTTAAATCAAACGTAACCGAAACCCAAAAGCCCAAAACAAACAGAAAACTTAATCCTAATCCTAAACCAGATAGATAGAACCGTTGTATCCCAACTACAAACCTGAAAACAAGGAGCTCTACCGTTTGCTATTCCGCTCTCGTCGATTCGTTCAATCAAGTCTGTCGTCCACAAAACCAGATTCTGATTGGCTGCTCCGGTCACGTGCTCAGAATGCAGAAATCACAGATCTGTCTTGTCTGCTGTTTAAAGCGACAATAACAAAACCCAAAATCCACAAATGTAAAACTCGCCTTCTGCGTCGGACATCCAAACTGTCGGCTTTTGAGAAATAATATTTCGACAGAAAATTGGGATTCATTTTTGGAAATTGAAAACTAAATTGCAACTTATCTGGGATATTTTGATAATAAAGGACGATGCTAAAAAAAACAACGAGGATGTGTACAAAAATGCCCTCTGATTTAGTAACTACTCAAATCCCTAAATGAAATCGTCGCATACTATATGTGTTGTGTGAAAACGTCACATACTTTAGTTATAGCTATGTGGAGAAGACACTTACTATAGTTTTATTTACGCGAAAACTTCACCAAGTTTAGCCATGCTAATATGACGACATCACAGAACTAAGTTCTGAGGAATCTCTCCTGTCCCGTGTACTTCACTAACATTGTTCGTTAAACAAAATAGTTAAAGATAACACAAGCCGTCCGTGCAAACTAACTAGACAGAAAGTGGTGAGGTTCGGTACCTCCAAAAAGGTTAAGAGCCACTGCTTTAAAAGTTAAATCTTCTTCTTCTTCGTTCTTAATTTTTAGTGTTGGAATGGATCGTGCCTTATCTCGAGACTTTTTTTTCGAATTTAACAACCTTGAGCTTTTACCAACTCGACCACGCCTCCAACACAATCTATGTATATAATTCTCTTCTGGGAGACGCTAGAAAACAAGCTGTAAACGCGCTCCCTACCACCCCCACCCCTACATGGTCTTAGTTAGCTGTGTTCACTCTAAATGTTTACAATCACAGCTGGGTTTAGTGACGACTATTAGGGGCAGATAATTTAGTTTGAAACGATTTTAAACGTAGGGGGGGGGGGTAACTAAGTGGAGTTTACTTTAACGGAGGGGGGGGAAGGAGGGGGGGGGGGGTTATCGTCCTTAACGAGCTACTTATAGTGTTTTAAAGAAATATTTTCAGTGGCAGCGTTGGTAGTGTCGAATTCACAAATAATGAATAACTGAAAAGTAGAAAACCAACTAAATAGCGGCGTATGTTATGCCGCGGGTCGGCTCGTTAAGTATACGTGTCCTGGTATGCGCCATTGAGGCCATTGACTCCGATTTCAGCCCGCTTTTCTTTTTGGATTTGCTGCCATAGCCTTTGTCCAACCAAAAATGAACAACAAGGGAGAAGTTGTTTCATTTTGGAGTTGTCTCTCCTAGAAGAGTGGCTGTCCCCAGATACCGAGCCTCATCTGACGAGGTTTCGAACTCGAGACTTTCCGGTTTAGCAGCCATGAGCTTTACCGACTCGACCACGCCGTCACCTAAATGTAAAAAAAAATGTATATATTATGTGAACGGAAGTGAATATAATTACACAATTTAACGCAAAAAAATAAAGCGAAATAATAAATTTGAAAAATTAAACCTGATTTATTTTTTTGACTATCAGACGCCAAGACTTCCTGGTGTCCACCATGGAAGGAATCTACGGCTCCACCCACGCGTGTCTGAGCAACGGCTCCTGCCTGGCTCTGGAGCCTGACCTCATCAACATCATCGCCAAGTCACGTGACCCCAACGTGCTGAAGGACGCCTGGGTCAGTTGGCGGAACAGCGTGGGTCCCTTGATCAAGCCTCATTTTACGGAGTTCGTTGACCTTCTGAATCAGGCAGCCGTTGAGAACGGTGAGTGACGTCATGACAAAATGGACACTGGTACCACTCTGCTAGTTTTTTTTATTATTACTGAGACGACTGTCTAATATATAATGCGTTTTGCTTTCAATAATCCTTACAAAAAGGGAATTAGTGTTTACGTGTGTGTTGATGGGGGGGGGGGGGGGAGCGGTGCGTTGGAGGTATTGTATGTCCACACTTGTCCGTTAGTTACATTATCGTTAAAAATCGTATTCGGTTAACCGGTCTTTAAGTTAAAAAACTACTTCAGCTCGTATGTTTTATTAGGTCTCTAAAATAACAAATCTTTGAAATAACAAGTCTTGGTTGCAATCTCCATATCTTTTAGTATTACGAGCGGGTGACAAAAATAGAGAACATAATTTTACATTCCAAATGTTCTACGTTAGAAAAAAGTTCTTAGTGAACAAAAAACTATCAGGGGCGTCACTAGGGCTGATGTCTCCTGGTTCGGTCCGCACCCCCGCCTTGTGACGCAACTCATTAACATATTTGACAGCAACTTCAATACAAGTGCAGTCTTAACGGCGAAAAAAAAACAATAGGTGAGAAAGAACCCCTAAAAGCTATTGATTGTTTTTCTCATCATGAATTAAATTTACGTAAATAGCAATCATGTGTGACGTCAACGGTAATTAGGCGAGACGTAAGCAGCTATGGAGTGTAACGTACCTTTACTAGAGATATTAAAGATAATTGAGATGTGGGAAAGGGACGAAAGGGACACAACCTATGTGATAACGTTAACGTCACAAGGGAAACAACTACTCCATCTATGTATCTTTAGCTACATTGTCGTTTCAAGTCGATGATTACCATTACTAAAAGTAATAAATAAATTAACGTTATTGGATTGCAGTCTTGTATAATATATAATTTTAGACATAATTAAAGATACCTGCGTATTTATTTTATTTCAATTTTTACTTTTGCTTTATAGTCAATATTCATAATATCTGCGCCTTTGCCCGTCCGCGTACAAGAAATAATAATATGGTCGTCAAAAAATATCTCAGTATTAGGAAGATTATATGTTGTTAGGATTTTAGGATAACAGCGTGGGTTGTTCAAAAAAAAAAAAAAAACAGCGTGGATTGTTCAAAATCTTTTTTTTTTTTAGTCTTCCAGGACTATCGTTCGAAATCGTTCTTAAAAAAAAAAGTTTCAGGCTTCCATGATTACAGCCAGTATAGGAAGAAATCTTTACTTTTTCTGCCTTTCAAGATTACAGCGAATATTGGAAGAAATCTTTATTCTTTCTATTTTCAGGTTTTCAGGATTACAGCGAATATTGGAAGAAATCTTTATTTTTTGAAACACCAGAGCTGGACTCTATGATACACAGACTGTGGCAAGACATCAAACCACTCTATCTGCAGCTTCACGCATACGTCAGGCGGAAGTTGAGGGAATATTACGGAAGTGACGTCGTTGGTTACGACGGCACCATCCCTGCACATCTTCTGGGTAACATTGGCTGATATATTAATTAATTCATACATTCCCTAGTAGAGTCTAAAAGTGTTACTTAACTTCCGATTCCGGTTACTTTCAGTGTCGATTTAATCTCACTTCCGGTTTCTTTATACTTTCACTTTTAGTTACAGTTTATACTTTTACTTTGAGTTGCAGTTTACTTTCACTTCCGTTTGCCGTCTACTTTCATTTTCGGTTTCAGTTTACTTTCTTTTTCGGTTACAGTTTACTTTCACTTCCCGTTATTGTTTACCTTTATTTCCGGTGTCAGTTTTACTCCCACTTCCGGTTACAGTTTACTTTCATTTTCGGTTACAGTTTACTCCGACTTCCGGTTTAATCTACTTTCACTTCCGGTTTCAGGCAACATGTGGGCCCAACACTGGACGAACATTATGGAGATCGTCAGCCCCTACCCCGAACAGGACCAGCAGAGCAAGGTCGAGGCCAGGCTCAAGGCCAAGGTCGACGTCCAGGGCATCTTCCGGTTAGCCGACGGCTTCTACACATCCATGGGGCTGTCTCCCATGACAAGGACCTTCTGGGAGAAGTCCATGTTCAAGAGACCCAAGGACAGAGAAGTCGTCTGTCATGCGTCTGCTTTTGATATGTTTTACCCGGGGGATTTTAGGTCAGTTTGGTACTCTGTTGGTGGTTGGCTGTTGGTTGTAGGATGTTGGTGGTTGGCTGTTGGTTGTGGGTGAGTGGTCGTGGGTGGTTGGTTGTTGGTGGGTGGTTTTTGGGGGTTGGTTGTTGGTGGTTGGTTGTTGGTGGTTGGCTGTTGGTGGTTGGTTGTTGGTGGGTGGTTTTTGGGGGTTGGTTGTTGGTGGTTGATGGGTGGTTGGCTGTTGGTGGTTGGCTGTTGGTGGTTGGTGGTTGGGGGGTTGGTGGTTGGTTGTGGGTGAGTGGTTGTGGGTGGTTGGAGGTTGGTTGGTGGTGGTTGTTGGTGGTTGGTGGGTGGTTGGTTGTTGGTTGGTGTTGGGTGGTTGGTTGTTTGTGGTTAGTCGTTGGTTAGCTGTTGGGAGTTGTTTCTTGCTGATTTGATATTTGCTGGCTGTTGTTAGTGGTTAGTGATCGGCTGTTATTGGTTGGTTGTTAGTGGTTATGTGTTGATGGTTGGATGGTTGTGGTTACTCTGACCTCGGCATTTAAATAGACAGTGTATTCAGTTTTATTACCAGCCATCTTCTCATTCCCTAACGTGAGTTATAAACTAATCAAATCTGAATGTAAATAGATGTCTAATAGACTCAAGTCTGAGAAGCTAACTCAACTTATTTGGAGTGGCTGTCATGAGCTAAACCTCGACTCATAAAACAGTCTTGGTTCTTATATAGGCTTAACATAAATCAGAACACTTTTTGTATTTTCTTGTATTTTGTCCCTCTTGTATACAATTTGCTATGAAAAACCTTAACATTTACGTATCAACGTCTCCTCTCCAGAATTAAAATGTGCTCGCAGGTGACCTTTGACACCTTCCGGACAGTCCACCACGAGATGGGTCACATCGAGTACTTCATGGCCTACGCTGACCAGCCGTCCATCTTCAGGGAAGGGGCCAACGCGGCCTTCCACGAAGCGGTGGGGGACACGATCCAGCTATCCGTGCTGTCCAGCAGCCATCTCAAGGGGCTGGGTCTGCTAGAGGATGACGAGGAGATTGTCGACGACAAACCCACCCGCGCCGGGAGATTACGGCGGAGGAAGCTGACAAAACACAGCACGGAATACAGTGAGCGCTAAATATAATTTTATTTCTCTATTTGAAGACAAAACACAGCACGGAATACAGTGAGCGCTAAATACAATTTTATTTCTCTATTTGAAGACAAAACACAGCACGGAATACAGTGAGCGCTAAATACAATTTTATTTCTCTATTTGAAGACAAAACACAGCACGGAATACAGTGAGCGCTAAATACAATTTTATTTCTCTATTTGAAGACAAAACACAGCACGGAATACAGTGAGCGCTAAATACAATTTTATTTCTCTATTTGAAGACAAAACACAGCACAGAATACAGTGAGCGCTAAATACAATTTTATTTCTCTATTTGAAGACAAAACACAGCACAGAATACAGTGAGCGCTGAATACAATTTTATTTCTCTATTTGAAGACAAAACACAGCACAGAATACAGTGAGCGCTAAATACCATCTCTATTTGAAGACAAAATAAACCGGCAGTGATCTCCCCTAAACTTTCTCGAATATTCTAATATAACACTACGGGGTATGGCAACTCGGGACATAGACAATATTTTAAATCCATTTTTAATCACTTAAACTTTTTATAATAGAATAGAATCTTGTAAAAAAAAAGAATTGCACACCAAGTGAACGCCAAATAAAATGTGCATAATAGTGCGGGATATTATTAGTACTTTATAAATTCACATCCGTTTTTTTTTTGAGAAATCGGAAATAGCGTAAATTACTACTTCCGGTCAATGGAAATTATTCAGAATTTAATAGAAGGCAGAGAATTAGAACTTTTACTTACATTTGAAATTTCATTTATCTATCTGAAATAGTACTCAAGTTATAGGCTTTTAAAAAATTCAAAGTAGAAAAAGTTCCACTTACGGTTATCGGAAATCGCTCAAAAGTTGATACGGATCTACGATCTATATGAAATTTCATCAACTTAGCTGTAATAAAACATTACATTTATTAAACTAATTCTAATCGAATAACAAAATATTGAAATATAAATGTTAGTGGCTCTTTAAAAACTTGGAAATTTTGTAAATTGTAACTTTTGTCTCTTCCGTCCTTTATTTTAATAAAGACCTCAGGGGTAAGTGCCATTATGTTTCGTCTTTAATTAAGCCCCAACTTTTATATTCCTCTATACAGGATCAACAATAAACAACCTATTAAGTATGGCCCTGGAAAAACTGGCGTTCATACCATTCGGCCTTCTCGTTGACAAATGGCGGTGGGCTGTTTTGAGAGGGGACATAACTCCTTATGAATTCAACAAAAAATGGTGGGAAATGAGGTAAGGCTTCGATGTAATCAAATTGTATTTATTTTGTTAAATAAGTTTTTAGCACAACAGACAGGGTTGTTGATTTTAATTTTTTAAATTAAAATCTTGTGCAACTTTAATTATATCAAACTGCTCTTGATGATGTAAAACAGTGAACGATTATAGTTGATGATAACTTTAAGATGTAATGGATACAGAACGGGATTAATCTTCGCCTTATTCATTTTCTTCTCCTGAAACAAAAAGTATTAGAGAGTAAAATAATAAGCACGTGTAAATTTTATATATATATATATATATATATATATATATATATATATATATATATATATATATATATATATATATATATATATATATATATATATATATATATATATATATATATATATATATATATATAATGCGAAATATGTATGAAAATAAATACACAATAGCACCGATTAGAGTTGGTACAGCTTTCCCCCTCTACACCCACTCTAGCTACCCCACCCCTACCACTAGCTACAAACGAGTACAGGTGAGCACTCTCTACCCGACCACTCACCCACAGCATTACCGAACGTGCACAAGCCTACACCCGTGGGCGCGAGCGTTAACCAAATACAATCTATCGATTCACCCCACGGCCGTCCGCGTCCCGGGGAGTAAATTGGAGACCGTCCATCATACAGACAAATAAAGCTGACACGCGCGCCGAGAGCATACAATAGCCGGCCGGGACCGGACGCTCACCTGTGCCAAATGAACCGGTTGCCGGTTATTAATTTAGGGACTGAAATTATGAATTTTAAACAAGTGTAAAATAATGAACTTTTTCGGAAATATGATTTGGGTTTATTGTGGATATATTAACAAAAATAGGTACAAAATGCCATAAGCAAATAGTTTTAAAACAAAATAAAATAATATTCACTTTTGTTTTTAAATACCAAATAAAAAAAAACTAATACTAAAACATTAACCCTATAAAACTAATCGACGAGAATATCGATTCGGGTTCCTTAAAATATGATTTTGGGTAAGTTATAATTACATTTCTTACGATAATATTTTTTTTTGCTGGGGGGGGGGGCGTGGCAAATAGCTATAGAGCTAGACTGCTAACCTGAAAGTTGAGTTCGAATCCGGGTTTAAATCAGTAGAACGTCCCTGTGTCCATCTAGCTCTGATGGGTACATAAGAGAAGCATTAGAGAAACAAAGGCGGCTGGGCATAGTGCTGACCACACTATCCCTCTGTATGCCGAGGTCATTGAAATAGATTAACTCTACTTCATCTGTCCCATGTGTCTTGGGCACCAACGGGGAAAGAAGATGAAGCAATGTCAGCCCAATGTTGAATACAATTCGAACCCACAATCCCACAATCCCACAATCCCACAGTCACGCAATCCCACAATCCCACAATCCCACAGTCCCACAATACCACAGTCCCACAATCCCACAGTCCCACTGTCCCACAATCCCACAGTCCCACAATCCCACAATCCCACGATCCCACAGTCCCACAGTCCCACAATCCCACAATCCCACAGTCCCACAGTCCCACAATCCCACAGTCCCACAATCCCACAGTCCCACAATCCTCCAATCCCACAATCCTTAGCCACATTCCTTGTATAAAACAGCCTGGATAACAACACAAAGGGTTGCACTCGTTGATGACTCCCTCGGCATGGTCAAGAAGTAGAGCGCTCGTCTGCTAACTCGAACATTTCGAGTTCGGTTCTCGTACTTGCTTATCTTGAACATCCCTGAGTCCATCCTTATTAACCGTCATCATCTTCATCATTCCTTTGTGGCCCCTGGGAAGCAAAGGGCTGCAACTACACATTTCCAGCGGACTCGGTTTTGGGCTGCTCCCTTAATCTGTGCCCATGTGAGCCCAGCTGTTTTCGCCTTTTCTTCAACCGTTCTTTTCCATGTTTTCCATGGTTAACCGTAGGGAAACTAATTTGCATTTGCCTACATATCCCTTGGTCTCAAAAACAGGTGAACTCTACTTCATCTGCCCAGTTAACTGTCGTCCAGAAGGCGTACTTAGTCATGTTGTAGTCAGTACCTTTAACCAGGGGCGTAGCGAGGGGGGGGGGGGTGCGGACCGCACTGGGTTACACCATTTAGGGGGTGACACCAAGGCAAAAAATAGCAAAATATATAGAGAAAAACTTGAGGGGGGGGTGCAAATCGAAAGTTTGAGGGGGAGGGGGTGCAAATCGAAAACTTGAGTGGGGGGGGGGGGGTGCAAATCGAAAGTTTGACGGGGGGGGGGAGGGGGGTGCAAATCGAAAACTTGAAAGTTTGTCCCCGGGAAGGGTCGCTACGCCTCTGGGGGGTGACACCATTAAGAGCCGCACCGGGTGACACCCGACCTCGCTACGCCACTGCCTTTAACGTAACCACCTGTTTAAGTTAGTCTATGTAAACTGATACGCAATTTCATACGCCATTGTTAACATGTAAATTATTCCACGCAGTAAAAGCTGATCAAATATTATTGAACACTATTGATTTTTTGCCTCTAGAGCAATTATTCACCGCTGACTCTTGTCATTAGCTAGATGGTCGCGTTTGAATCAGCCACAAACTGTCAACTATGTTAAATTTTAATCTAACTCAAACCATAACCCTAACTAAGTAACCAGAATTACGCTCTAATTTCTGACATGTCCTAAATGACTTACAATGTATGTTCATTAAAGGTATTACGTTAAATTAGAAGTTAAACTAAACAAGGTATCTAGAGCATTATCGCGTCATTAAATGCAAAGACGTAGCGAGGGGGGGGGGGGGGGAGGCGGGGGGGGGGGGGGGGGACATATGTCCCAGGGCGCCGACCTTAGGGGGCGTGAAAATGGGTTGGAAAAACAAATTGAAAGTTTGAGGGGGGGTGCAAATTTGAAAGTTTGAGGGGGGGGGGGGGGGTGCACATCAAAATTTTGATGGGGGTGGGGTGCAAATTGAAAGTTTGTCCCCGGGCGCCGGGAAGGGTCGCTACGCCTCTGATTAAATGTCACCCATTTTACCTCCAGGCTGAAGTACCAAGGTGTGACGTCACCGGTTGAAAGATCAGAAGACTATTTCGATCCCGGGGCCAAATATCACGTGTGCAGTAACTCCGCCTACATTAGGTGAGTGACAGTTCCAAAATCAGGTCGATTGTAGTTTTAAATCTCCCCATTACATCTCCCTCTTTCTCCCCACTAAACCTCCTCACTAAAGCTCCCCACTAAACCTCCCCACTAAAGCTCCCCACTAAACCTCCCCATATCTGTCCAACTAAACCTCCCCATATCTCCCATACCAAACCTCCCCACTAAACCTCCCCATATTTATCCACTAAATCTCCCCATATCTCAGCACCAAACTTCCCCACTAAACTTCCCATATCTCCCTAACTAAACCTCCCCATACCTTTCCACTAAACCTCCCCATATCTTCCCAACTAAACCTCCCAATATCTCCCCACTGAACCTCCCCACTAAACCTTACCATAACTTCCTACTATACCTTCCAATACCTCCCATCTATACATCCCCATATCTCCCCAACTAATCCTCCCCACTTCTCCCCACTAAACCTTCTCATATATCCCCACTAAACCTCCCCACTAAACCTCCCCATATCTCCCCAAACTAAACCTCCACATATCTCCCCAACTATACCTCCCAAACTAAACCTCCCCACTTCTCCCAACTAAACCTCCCCATATCTCTCCAAATAAACATCCCCATATCTCCCCAACTAAACCTCCCGAACTAAACCTCCCCATATCTCACCAACTAAACCTCCCCATATCTCTCCAAATAAACATCCCCATATCTCCCCAACTAAACCTCCTCATATCTCCCCACTAAATCTCCCCACTAAACCTCCCCATATCTCCCCAACTAAATCTTCCCATATTTCCCCCAAAAACTCCCCATATCTCCCCAAATAAACCTCCCCATATCTCCCCAACTAAACCTCCCCAAACTAAACCTCCCCATATCTCCCCAACTAAACCTCCACATATCTCTCCAAAAAACATCCCCATATCTCCCCAACTGAACTTCCCCGACTAAACCTCCCCATATCTCCCCAGTTACTTCATCAGCTACATCCAGCAGTTCCAAATGTACCAGGCACTGTGTGAGGTCAGTGGTCACGTGGGAGAGCTCCACCAATGTGACTTCTACGGCTCTAAGGATGCTGGGAAAAAACTCAAGTGAGTTCAGTCCCTTTGGTACTCGATAAAACTTAGAAAACATTATTTATCCTTCTAAAACTAGGTTCTAATTTCTTTTTATGACGCTTCTGTTGTCCACTGACGTAAACATTTTTGTTTTAAATTCTAACTTTTGAAATAAAAATTAATGTAATGCAAATCACCTTTATGTACCACAAATAGCGCTGCGCCAAATTCAAATACTAATGGTGTATAAGCCTTAAAATAACCACATCAATAAAAAAAAACCACACTAAATTAAATGACGCATCAACTTAACGAGACATTTATTTTTACGAGCCCTACCTTATTGATCATTATCAGTCATATCTTAATTAGGCCTAACGTCATGGTTCATTGTGGTCCATCCCCAGGCACATGCTTAGCCTCGGTTCCAGCATACCATGGCAGGAGCAGCTCTCCTACCTGACCGGAAACAGTCAGGTGACAGCCGACGCCATCTTAGAATACTTCCACCCCCTCCACGATTGGTTGGAGACAGATAACAGACTACATCAGGAGAAGGTCGGCTGGAGGGGCGCCACCGTCAACTGGGGCCGGAGCTAATTAATTAGCGCTTAATTAAAAACTGTATTATTATTATTATTTATTTACACTGAGAGTTCCATTGGTTAGGATGGTGATATTGTTGCTCAACATACCACGCCATATTAACCAGTTTTCGTTTTATTCGAATTTTTTAAAAACTGGTGTCCTTTTTGTCATAATTTTTTTGTTTTCATTTCATTTTATTGTTTTTTGTATTTTTGTTGGATTCTGGTGCTTGTTTATGTTGTTTTTTTCTAATTTGTTTTTTATTTTGGTGGTAGCTACGATGTCTCGTTTTGTCGGTTTGTATTTTAATTTTTGTATTGCTTCACTTTATATAATGATTTGATTTACATTTCAAACAATTGCCTCGCTTTTTAAATTTTAATTTTGATGTTTTTGAAATTTACTTTTACTTTAAAAATCAAAATTTATAAATTTAAATGACAAAGTAAATAGATTGTCTATTTAAAAAAATAAAATGCAATGATCGAACCCTTTAAAAATTCAAATATTATAGATGGAATAAATAAAATTGAGGCCACTTATGGGCAGACTTCGTCTTTCAAATGCCAGCATTTTTGTTGTGATTTCTAGTCTGTTGTTTTACTTTCTCTTAGTACAGGCAAGGTCAACTGACGCTGTAAATTACATGTCTGCTGAGGCTTAATTCCCCCCCCCCCCCCCCAAAAGTTTTCGTATACGGAGGACGAAATATTGCAATGGTGCGTAAAATCAAAAAATAAATTTCGACAAATCGAGGATTTACGCCTTTCTTAGTCAGAAAACCCCAATTTGAAAACAAAAGGCAACACTAGTAGCACAGTGACCTGTCCTATGCCGAGCATGGAGATTATCTTAGCTATGAGTCCACCAAGATTCTATTTAAAAATAGGTAATGAATAAATAAGCGTCTGTAAATCAGTGAAATAAAAGTGATTTAATATTTATGTTGTCGAAATGTGTGCCCTATGTAATTAGGCATATACCCAAACGGACGTTTACATTTTTATAAAAAATGTTCTCTAAATTAGTCAGCCGATTCAAATACAAATTTAAATCGAACAAATCTTAGATTATTTTATTGGTTAGTTGTTACATGTTTAAAATACATTCACTCTGACGATTGGCCAGCTAAGTCACACATCTGAGCTCTGATTGGCTGGCGAACACACCTTAGTTCTGATTGGATGATCAAGACCAGTAACACTGCAAGATCTTCCTGCAAACACTTCCACGCAAGAGCTCTCAATGTTCGCCACTACCTATACACGTAGCACCAGTCGCGATTTTTCAGCGGCGAGCATTTATTTTTTGGGCGGGCGGGATTGTTGCTCAAACTGAGGACATCTGTCTCGGTGTTTTCGCCCAGCACGCTGCGATAAATGTCCAGACAGCGAACTGTTTGTCGGTAGGACGGTGTACGTTGGAAGGGGTTTCTGAACTTCTCGAAGGGGGTGAAGCAGAGTCGCTTGCGGGTGTCACACGTGCCAAGACAGCAGGGTAGGGTCAGGCTGGGGATGAAGCAGGTCGGGAAGAAGTTTTTGGTGCTCGTTTCTGTGGTATAGAACTCGGTCGACTTGTCCGCGAGTTCTTTGGGCTCCGTGTTGGTGTACTTGGATGACGTGTCGGTGACGTCAGTTCCGGTGGATTGGTTGGAGACCTGGACGTCGACCTGGGTGAACTTGTCCACCATGATGGGAGCTGTGAGGGTCGACTGGGTGTAGGTCTCCACAGTTTTCACCACGACGTGTTGGTAGGTGGGGTAGTTGGGGGACGGGATGCTGACCTTGTTGTGTTCTTCATCCTCTGGGATTCTGAACTCGATAGAGTGCCTGGGCGTGGCGGCCTTTGACCTTGGTATTGGGGGAGACGGAGGTCTGAACTCGATAGAGTGCTTGGGTGTGGAGAGCTTCGACGTTGGTAGTGGTGGGGACGGGGGTCTCAGGCTGTTGTAGCTGTTCTGAGGTGTGCTCTTTGGGTTGGTTTTTCCCTTTGGAGGTGTGTGAAATGAGTTTTCCGGGTCGTGTTTTTCTGGTTCTTCCTTAAGCGTTTTAAAACTTGATGTCCCGTATTTCGGGAAGTTGTAACTGGGGCGTGTGTAAGGTTTAGGGTCTGAGCCGGTAGAGCTGCAGCTTGTCCATGATGTGCCACACAACGGGTCGTGGCCCACACAGGTACTGCGGCAGGGGTCGAAGCAGCTGGTGTAGCGGACATAAGTATGGCACACCGGGTTGGTCAGCGAGTACTTGAGACAGCAGGCCCCGGGTTGGCAGAAGGAATGACCGCAGGATGGACGACGTCTGGGAAAACTCTGGAATCTGGAACAAGACGACTGGGTTCGTGACGACAACCGGAGCAGGCTCCCGCAGACCGGACGGCAGATGTACGGGAGGTTCCATTTGGAGCCTGACACGCAGATCGGCGCGTAAGAATATCTTTCGAGCGACAGGCTTAAATTGGGTAGACAGCTGCTGTAGCTAGGCTCTGGGAATCTCGATATTAAAGCAGACTTGTCTAGCATCGCGGTTTTGTCTTCTATGGTTTCAGGCTTGACGCAGAAAGACTTTGGGAGGTGGTCTTCTAGACAACTGCTATCCGTGGACGAACGGGACGGAACTTTCTTATCTACTTCTGATTCTTTCTTCTCGCTGTTGTCGGCGTTCTTTGATTGGTTAATCCGGCTGGGTTTGCTTCCACACCAAGTATTTTCTGAACAGCTATCAAGAAATGGATTCGTCTGCCTAGGTTTCGCACAATGGTCTGCATCAGAATGAAATTCATTTTGTTTTTTATTTCTTACACAATCGTCACTGTTATATGGAGATTCACGTACATTCACATTGTTTCCGCAGATCTCAACCTTATAACACATCTGGTGTTGTTCTTTATGTAAAAGATCTTCCTGACCGGAACACTGTTTGTGTGTTTGACGTGTTGAACTTTTCTCTGCAGTACATTGGTGATTTTCCAGTTGCCTGTTTTCGACGTATTTACTATGATCGTGATCTGATTTCAAATCTAAACAGCCGTCGCTAATCTCTTCAGGGCTGTAACATCGCTTCAGTGAACACTTTCCGCAAACATCAGACCGGCAAACATCAGACCGGCAAACATCAGACCGGCAAACATCAGACCTGCAAACATCAGACCGGCAAACTTCAGACCGGCAAACATCAGACCGGCAAACATCAGACCGGCCAACATCAGACCGGCAAACATCAGACCGGCAAACATCAGACCGGCAAACATCAGACCGGCAAACATCAGACCGGCAAACATCAGACCGGCAAACATCAGACCGGCAAACATCAGACCGGCAAACATCAGACCGGAAAACATCAGACCGGCAAACTTCAGACCGGCAAACATCAGACCGGCAGTTGTGTTCATGGTGCTGGAAGCCGGACGCTGATTCCCCTGGGGTGTGGTCAGAGACCTGGTGACGTTTGGTTCCAGGGACGAGCCTGCAGTGGGGTACGTGGCGAGATGGGCACGTCATGACGCGGCTGGAGTTCCAGGAACACTTCCGGCAGCGGGCAGAGCTCTCGTCAGAAGAGGAGGAGGACGCGCCAGAGCTGGAGTCATAGCTACAGGCAGACGTCAGCCTAGAGTGGGGAGCACTCGCTCGCATGGTGCAGATGGTGGCTGATGTCAAGGTCAGATTTCTTCATCTAGTCTCTGGGGAGATAAACATACAAGTCTCTGGGGAGATAAACATACAAGTCTCTAGGGAGATAAACATACAAGTCTCTGGGGAGATAAACATACAAGTCTCTGGGGAGATAAACATACAAGTCTCTGGGGAGATAAACATACAAGTCTCTGGGGAGATAAACATACAAGTCTCTGGGGAGATAAACATACAAGTCTCTGGGGAGATAAACATACAGGTCAACCAGAGTTTAGCGGCGTGAATTTATAGCAGGGGAATAACGTTAATTCAACTTACGATGAATTAAATACTTAGATAATCGGCTAAATCAGCCGGTTTGATGCGTGTACCTATGGACTTATTATTTGTTTGTTTATGTTTCTAGATCTGTCTTGACAAACTTTTGCAATGCAAGTTGTTTCGCATCAGACATTTTCTAGTGCGTTGTTTAAAGACTTTGGTTAAGTGCGGATTAAATTAGACATGCGGCCGATTATCTTGGATTAAGCCTAGATTAAATTAGCCACGAAGTCTCGTATAATCTTAGATTATACCTAGAGAAAGTTAGCCATGCATCTCATATACCCTAAGCCCGCAGTAAACAATGTAAGGGTCTACCCTTCTTAGACACCACGGTCCACATTGCAGGTGGAGTAGAGTTGGTCAGTTTACTTGATTTCAGCCTCAACATTGTATGTGGGATATTTTACCAGCATTTCAGTTTCAGGGCTAGGATTAGTTTGGGGTGAGGGCTATGGTTGGGGTTAGGTCTAGGGTTGGGTTTAGGGTTGGGTTGTGCTTGGCTATGTTAATGATACTAGCATCAATATAGAATAACGCGTCCTATCGCCTCTCTTATAACTAACCTCTGTTACGCGAAAGATGGAACTGTCAGGAATATTCTAAAACAATAACTGACTATATAAGGCAGCCTGCGCTGACAATGACGAAGTTCATATTTTTATCAGCCAATGAACGAGACAGTAAGTTCCCCGTCCCTCGACCATACTTCTTTAAGTCTATAAAACATTATTCAATGTTCTCATACAAAAAATTGGAACTTTAACCGAGGTGTTCATAATAGGGCAACGGTTATAAAATAAACGATGTATACTTGAGTCAGCTCTTATCGGTATCGATGATAGACAGTGCCGTCACCAGGTTATTTAGCGCCCTAGGCAAAACTTATTAAAAGCGCCGCCCCCCCTCGCAATTTATTTCGTGCCCCCGTATTATCAGAGGCGTAGCGACCCTTCCCGGTGGCGGGAACAAACTTTCGATTTGCACTCCCCCTCCTCAAACTTTCGATTTCCCCCCCCCCCCCCTCAAACGTTTTGTTTTTCCAACCCATTTTGGCGCCCCCCTACGGACAGCGCCCTATGCGGCCGCCTAGTTTGCCTTACCTGTAGCGCCGGCCCTGATGATAGATCTAGATCTACATGCTATTCGTGACACACACACACAAAGAAACTTACAATGCTGACCATTTTTTTCAATCCTAATGTTATCCGTAATCAATTATCTTTCAACATAACCTAAGGCTCTAATCTAAGGTTAATGCCCAGGGATTTTCTTCCTGATGTTTCTATCTGTCCTTTATTGCTTAATCCCTGTCCATAGTAGTGTAGTGGCGAGTGTGATGTTTCCTTCCCACTGGATGTAAACAAAGTGGATATTTCAGAATACGGAAGTCTGGCTTTATTCCAGACGGCCCGCACCGGTGCGCATTGGTGCGGCGTGCACCATTTAAATGCGCGCACGTTTTGTTTTCTTACGAACTTTTATTTAATCTGTTCTTTTCTCTTGACTGTTGTCTTATGGGTCGAACAACGTTATTACAGCATCTTCTACCGACTTGATTTGTTTCAAACTTGCGACGCGTGCCAAGAACTGATAACAATGTAATGCGACATAGACTTTATCATTGATGTTGAATTGATTTTTTTTAAAGTAATTAAAGATTGCTATACATTTACTAATATTATCTCGCTATTAACACAATTCAATGTAAGATTTATCAATTAATAAAGTATTCAATATTTTACCAAGGGTGTAATATGTTCAAATGATAAAAACAAAATAAAAATAAAACAAAGGCTGTTAACTAGCACCAGTAGAAGTAATGCTACCAAAACCGTCTCTCCATCACCATTCGCGCTTATATAGCGTTGGTGTCGTTCAGAGCGTCTTATTTTCATTTTATTTCCAGGCTATGAAATGCAATTAAAAAGCGTTATTATAATTATATTGTATTATTAGTTCATTTTTTAACAAGCACCAAAAGTGTTTGGGCAGAAATCTTGGAGGTAACAACCACAATAATTTGTTTCTTCTAGCTGTTGATGCTAATTCTGGAGTTTCAAACCTTCTTTCTTCAAATAAATCTTAATTTTCTCGAGCAAACTACATTTTCACTTCTAGTCAACGATTAGTAAGCTAATCGATAATTAAATTCTAATTTTAGTTAATCATATTTTTTTTGCATCATTCATTCGAACAATTTTTCTTCACATACTTTTTCAAAAATGTTTTTTTTTACATTTTCAACCATTTTCGACACTGACAAATTCAACTTGTCAAATAAATGTAACTCTCACGAATCGCATTAGAGTATTTACTATTGTTTGTTTACAAGACACAGCAGTGTGTTAGGTTCTTATTTTGTATGAACTCTACTCAAATAAAAAAGCCGTTCTTAACCTTAGATTCGTACAAACATTAACGTCTACAAACACAAGTAATTTATTTTTTTATCAACAGAAACACAATATGGTAGTGAAATAATTTTATTATGACGACAGTTCAATGATAAAATGAAATTAAATGCGACACAAATGAAGGGAAATAAATTCAGGCGATGTATTAATGTTAACTTTATACGTCCAGTCTACCGTCAGGACACATCAAGAAATGTGTGTCACAACACGTTCAGTCATCAATGTCAACACACGTGCAGTCACATGACTTAGTGTATCATGTATCCACATTCTCCAGACTTTATAAGTCAAGATTATTCTGACATCAGATTTTTAATATGGCCACGTACTCTTATCCATTTACTACAAATGCAAGAATCAAATGTTTGATAAAATGTGTAGTTGTTTAAATTCTACCAGAAAAAAATATGGAAAAAGTAATGTTTCATAAATATGCCAGATTATGATTGTCTGTTGTTTGAGGCATTTCTATCATTACTAGATATGACGTCACCGACTTGTGTGGTATTTGGTTCTCTAGTTTCCCCAACCCCACCACTGGCCGTTACACCCAATCTCTCGTCTGATTGCGTGTTTGTGGTACCGCTTCCAGCGTCTGTAGATGTTTGATCCGGCCCGTCGTTCTGGTCCCCATCCTGGAAGTTTGTGTCTTTAGAGAACGGCGGGACCTTGCAGACGACAGGATTGAGTTTACTGACGGCAGCGGAAGTGTCGAGTCTACAACTGTCTGTGACAGACGCGTGTTGGTCCTCAGATGTCAGACAGGAAAGTTTACCTGCGGAAGCGTCATACGACTCCTGATGACCTACCTGATCAACATTTACCTCGTGTGTGTCTGCCTGTGCTTGTGCCAACGGTCCGGCACTGAACTGGCAGTGAGAAATATTCAGCTGGTCAACAAGCGTCTCTACGTCTTCACCGTCTGAGATGACGTCATCAAAAGTCACGTGTAGCCCGTGTTTTGACACCGCCTCACTGCTTGCACGAGACGCTCTCAGCGACGATGGGAGCTTCCCCTGGCTGCCGCCTTGGTCAGAGTTCCTCGCGTCTCCATGACAACCGTCCTCGACGTAACTTTCCCCTGAAACGCAGGACATGTTAATGTTTTCTTTTGGGTTAACCGTGACCGGCCTGGAGTTAGCCGTGACCGGCCTAGATTTAGCCGTGACCGGCCTAGACTTAGCTGTGCCCGGTCTGGCCGTTGCCGGCCTGGCCGTCTTGGTTTTGATGCCCTGTTTCGTCCTGTTCCCCTGTTCTCCGCCCTGATCTTTCGCTGCTCTATTTTGACGGTGTTTGGGTTTTTCCTTACAACTCTCGGTAACTGCAGCATTGGGATTATTGTGTACTGTCGTCTCATTTTGTGTGGGGGCAGATAGTGAGGGTTTTCCATCCACAAGTGTATGCATGCTCCTATTTGCCTCTACATGTGAATCTTTCTTCTTGACAAATGTCACAACGGCACAATTCAGTACAGATTTTATCTCCTTAGTGTGTTTTTTAGTGGGTTTTGAACAGGAGTCCTTTGTTGAATTTTCTATTGGCGGCGCGGTGGGATGTACAGGATGCGATGGAGGTTTCTTTAAGACTTTGTTGGGAGGGTTCTTGTGATTTTTAGAAGCTTGATGTGTAGAACTTGAATTAGTGCTCACGTTTGAAGACAGAGGCTTGTTTCTACTTTCACTTTGAGTTTGTTTAGTATTCCCTTGTTTTTCGTTTGTTTTTGGTTTTGGTTTTACCACATCCTTGGCATGACCTGAACCTTGAACTCTAGCGTTGATCTTTTGATTTGATGTGGGCTTTGTTGTAGAGGATTTAGTTGAACTTAGGGAAGATTTCAATTCTCTGTTTTCAGGCTGATTTGGCTTAATATTCGCAACATTTGTATTATTTATTTTATTCTTGCTTTTTAATAGGAAAGTAGGTCCACTCTGTACAAGATTTTGCTCTGCTTCTTGCACGGGTTCTAAAACTTCAGCCGTGTCTGTAGTTTTCAATTCAAATGCTTTGTCTGAAACGGCTGAAGGTGATGATGAGCATCGACGGCAGTCGTGACCTACGTTCTCAAGCCCACAGCCACATCGAGCGGTTTTGTTTATCTTCTGGTTGCCAGTAGCAACCATTGCTGTCTGAGATTGCCGGATGTTGTCCATGTCGACTTTTAGCTGTGATTGTTCGGCCGAGAAACTTGCAGGCGACTCCTCGTAGCTGCCCTCGGTGTTTGCTTGAACTTCTCTAGTTTCAGAATGTCTTGATGTGTGGTTCTCTAGGTCCTTACCTAAACGTCCCGAGACACAAATGTCTTTCCCACTGATTAAAGAAACGTCTTGGTTAAAATTAGAATCACACTTGCTTCGTCCTTGATGAGCCACGTTTAGAACTGTGTCGGTGTTTAAGTGGGCGATTGGTTTACAGCGGCTGTTGAGGTTAGGGTTAGGGTGATGAATGTCGTCTCCACTAGGGAGTGGATTAGTATTTGTACAGGGGCAGTAGAGTGTTTGACAGCATGTATCCAGACAGCCTTGAAGTTGATGTAAACGGCAATGAGGGTTGAGGTTAGAGCTGAGTAGTGGAGCGTCATCGCTTCTCGCTAAGCAACCAGCGCAAGGTGTATGATGTGGGCAACAAGGTTTCATCAGGCTAGAACACGTGACAGGGTGTGCGTGAGAAATGCAGTCAAGGTCGTTGTTTAAACCACGTGATGGGCAACAGGTGTGGCGATGGTGTGTGGCGCTTGTTTGTGGAGGTTCTACTATAGTGTGGTGAAGATGGCTTTGATGAAAGGTATTTGGTACGTGTGAGGGGAGACAGGACTGGGTGACACTGCATGGACAGTTTCTACATCCGGATACCACGCTTTCTGCGGTATTGTTGGGGTTAAAAAGTAGACTTTTGCTTTGCGTTGAGTTGTGTTCAGCTGCTGATACAGAGTCCACTATGGCCTCCGCGCTGCAGTTGTGCGGGTTGGGTTTTATGGTCTTTGAATCAAACGCCACGCGCCTGGGTATGCGGCTGGGACAGGATGGGTGTGGCCAGTCGCTGGTTGACCGCGACAATCGTGTCCTGGGTGACGGTGGCCGGGGCTGAAACAGGCAATATTTCTTGGCCTCTGTGGCGGGATGTTCTGTTGTACGAGGCTGACTAGCACCTCCGATGTTCGCCCCTGTTACAGAATAAGTTCCATTGAGTTCTCGGGCCGCTCTACTGTTTGCCTTTATCGCGGGATGTTGTATTTCATGATGTTGCCTAGCACAAGTCCCTGTCCCTTCTTTAGCGGGTTGTTGTGCTTCAAGCAACTCTCGAGCGCCTGTCTGCTTACATTCCTGAGCTTCACACCCAGCGTGGGGAATATGTCGTGAAGGAGCACGGTAAAACGTTAACAAATTTGTTTGTTTTTTACACGGGGGCTTTGAAGGCGGTCGCGGCTCCAGTAAAAGATGACTCAAGGAATTATTATCGCGAGATGAGCTTTTACTTTCGAGATCTGGATGCGAGGAAATCGTTTGTTTACTATCAAGTTTTGAGGCTGAACACAGCAAGAGTCTGTCTAGTTCCGGTTTAGCGTCTGTAAACTTTTTACTGCTGCAGTAATGCGTGCATTCGTCTGGGAATGATTCACTCTGACTCGGACTTTTTGGGGTAGGGCAAACATTTTTTGTTTTCTCCGTGACTGGGGATGAGGTAAGTTTAACATCGTTATACTTTTCGTCGCCGATAGCCTTGTTTATAGCATCGATAGCTTGGCTTTGTTTATTTAAAACATGTTTTATGCACTCAATCATTCTCTCTTGTGCTCTGATCTCTTTCGTGTCTGTGTTTGATTTCTGCGAGACGTTTGCAGGAGTACATGACGAACGATGGCTTTTACTCGGCACAAAACTGCTGTTTTTACATCCCTGTTGTTGAATCAGCTTCAACAAGCACTTGACGTCGTATTCG